GTTAATATTGGTTCTCATAGTTACCACAAACAACTCAGTTCTCCCTTGAATAGGCCCCTATATATATATATATATGATATTGGTGAAGATTATGTGAGAAGGAAAGTTATTAAGTGGGTATAACTTTTATGACAAGTTTGTCGCATGTAAAGCCAAGTTCCAACAAATTGTACACGGAATAAGAAGGGGATACTTGCATCGACTTTTTCAAATAGAAATCAAGAATCGAATCCAAGTTAAGTGATTTCATTTCTCATGCAACACTTGTTTGGGTAAAACACGGGTTTCTAATCGGCAACATCCTATCACTGTGTGAAACAAATCAGATACACGATGACCTACTAGATAGCTGGTGTAAGAGCTCAGCATCTAAACAGACGAAATCCTTAAAGAAATACTAATGATGGCTACACCAATTTATACAAATATACTTGACTCAAAACCAATTATATTACCTACTTGTTTTTCAATGTGTGTGTGTGTGTATAGACAACAAAATCAGGTGCAAATTTTTTAAATTTTACATACCTATAAAATAATATTTAGAAAACGATGAAGATTCATTTATTATGATTTAAATATTTATGAAAAATGATTAGAGTTCATTAATTATGAATAACGTTTTATAAAACAATTGATATATTTATGAAACTATGTATTCATTAGACTAGATGTATGGTTGAGATTGATTTGTATAGTTTTGTATCATTTGCATGATTTGTATTCAATTGATACTCTTTATATATATATATCATATATCTTTATGATTACATAGAAAATATATTTAATTTTCAATATGGTAATTAATTTAGTGATGGTTCATTATAATTTTTATTTCAAAATACAATATATTTTATTGTTTTTTACTAAATCAGTATCTATCAGGTTCTTCAAACCCGTCAAGGAGATGGGGTCAGGGACGGCAGTTGAAACGGGGTCGGGGGTATTTGATTGACCTAATTAGATATTTTAAAGTGTATTAAAATAACATTAAACTATTTTTAAAAATTTATTAAAAAGAAATTCAAAAAAAAAATAAAATATATATATATATATATATATATATATATATGAGAAGAAAATGTTTTTTTTTAATATATGACTGGTTTGGGCTCGGCCCAGGACCGGTTACAAGTACCCTTAACCGGACCTTAGTATTTTCGACGAAACCAAGACCAATTATGAGCTTCATTGTTCCAGCTCAGGACCAGATTTTGGCCATCACTAGTTAAAATAGTATATTCTTTTTTCAGCAAATGAAGTTATAAAATAACACGGTTTTCTTGGATTTTAATCAATCAATTCTACTAACTGATGAAATCCACTTTTTATCAGATAATCGGTTTAAATCATCCGGAAAAAAATTAACGGTTTAATAAAAAAACTGATATCTTAAATTGTCACGAAAAAAACAGTCATATATCTTCATCTGACTGGTTTTTGTTTGAACATTATTAATTAACAAAATTGAATGCTACTTTTATTCTTTTAAAAGCGATATGTTTGTTGTAAATGTGAATGTAATTGTACGTATACGCCACCAACGGTCTTTTTTGGCCATTCTCCTTTGACTTTTTATGCTACAAACAGCCTCTTTGACTTCATTTATTTGGAGAAGCATCTTTTTTGAAAGGTGAGTTTCACTTTTTCTAATTATATTATCATTAATTATAAACTAGTTGTGTACCCGCGCAATACGGCGGGAGCCATGAATTTTAACGATTTTGAAGTTTCACTGATTTTATAAGACAAGATTTAATGATGATATAAGTTACATTTGGTCTTTACATATTAATACAATTTGAAGAAATAAGAGTTATGGTTTCAATTAAAGACTATCGATGAAAAAAATTGTATGACAGTTTAAAATCCAACATATTTAAACGACTCCACAAATGTGTTCGATTTACACCAAGAGCAAATAACCAAGAAACTTGAGTTTTAAAATAAACACTCAAAACCAATAAAGAAAATTACAAATTTGACATATCATAAGCCATGAAAAGACCAAAAAAAATGGGTTTTAGAAAGAAATTTCAACTGCTTACCCTCTTTCTTGTCCAGAAGCTCAGATTAAAGTTGAATTAATACATATATATATATATATATATATATATATATTTCAAAAAAAACCCAAGAACATATTAATTCAGAACATATTATACAGTGCAATTTGGACAGCCTAACCCCAAAATGTATAGCATATAT